GTTTCAAATACTTATATTGAACAAAATCGAGTCTACGCCTTCTGGATGATATTCATGATGGTTATAATAATGAGTTGCACTGCTCCATTAAGCAATACGAACATACCGAAGTTGAGTAGAATCTCATAAGCCCTTTGAAAGTTGTATATAACTTCAAAGCCGTCTAGGTCCCAAAGCAATGAGGTAACTTTGCATTAGTCGAGCTATTCTGATCTGCGGAATATATATTATGTGGTACAATAGGTCTCTCTTAAGATTTCCTAGGGACACTCTGTATAGCAAGTCAATATGAAATTTCACATAACCACTAGTTGAATTGTAAAAAGTCAATGATTTTGACTTTCAAAATGTGTACTGTTATGTAATGATAGTAAATGCTAGTAGAAATGGTAGGTTAACTATTTAATTCAAATAACGACGGGTGCAAAATACACACTCTTTATAAGTAAAAATAGTTAAAACAAAAACAAATCGATTTTTGTCCAACTGTAATGTACCTACTCCGAGATAAAGTTAGCTTTGCGCTTTTTGGCCTAGATAAAACTTTTGTTATAACATCAAACATGGTAACACAATGGAAACGTAAAGTTTGTTTCAGTCGTTTTCGAGGCACAACGAACAATGTTATTAAATGGACGGAGATAAATTTGCGCCATGATGCATCGAGATTTCTGGCACAAATGTCCCAGTTTGAAAATCGCCTGCAAGTTATATTAGATTCGAATTTTCTTCCATTAAGTTTTATTGGATCATTGCCTCTCCCTATAGGCGAATCTTGCTAAGGAATACGCCCTCTACCGTTTTCTAATATAACTAACGTATGGGCCATTGATTGCTTTGTTTACATCAGTTTACATGTGTTTTATATGAGAAGTAGTTGTGTTTAAATCGTCTATAATTTTGTTTGAGAAATTTGAACAACGTTTAAAAACATGAATCACTATTCTTGTGTACCCCATTGTTCGTCTTTAGCAAAAAAAACGAATATAGCTTGCATACCTTTCCAAAATCAGGACAACCCTGAGTCGTATTTGTAACTAAGTTGGGAAACAATGAAGTGATTCATAGAAGAACGATGTGAATTTATAACTTGAAGATTGGAAAAAAGTGTCTGTGAGCATATTATGAGAGATTATTCTTTTCACTTTACTGAAAATTGACTCATATATTTCCATATAATAGGTATATGTCTATTGTGAATATAATACTTCTTGGAGTATTAATAAAAAGCAAACAAATGTTCAACTGATTATATCTTTCATCATAATACTACTCATGAACAGTAGAATTTTTTGTGTCGAAACTATTCATCATTGGCCAAAACGGTCTTCATGTCCCTATCTCAACTTTTTATGTACTATCAATTGATTATCAATTGAAATAGATACAATAATTCCGAAGAAATTGGTCATACCCAGTTTGATTTTGCAAAATTACGAAAGCAAATAGGAATCCATATGTGAAAACCTACCTGTCTTCATCCTCTCATATGTCAGTTATTTTTTTCGCCATTTTGTTTAATGGAGCAATGCAATAAATATGGAGTAGACGTTTTATCTTGTTCAATCCGCTTTCAAACAGAACCAAAATCGATGGAATTGGTCTATTAATAAAAAAGATGAATCCAAAACAAAATTCCGATTTTTTTGACAACGCCATATATGAAAGTTCAATTATTATACAACTTTTGTAGAGGCGGTACTTGGTTGAACTGTATATTTCAATTAATTCTACATCCTCATAAAAATGTCTCAACTCTGAGAACACCCTGTAAACTAGTAGATTCGACATTTTTTTCACCATTCTAACGAACGAATTGGTTGTGAATTCATTTAATTTATTATAATTTCATTCAATATCATAGTATGTTTTATGTTGTATGTTGTATGTTGTGATATATTTCGACCCCTGCTAGGGACCATCATCAGAATGAGAATATAAAAGTATATTTCGATATTTGAAATTGTCATCATCAGCCAATGTATTTTTATTCTTCGAAATCTGAACTAGATCAACTACAGATGTAATGTCCCAGTTGCCCAGCATCACTACAAAAAAAAAACAGTAATAGAGATATCATTCTCACATGGGCTTTTAAAATGTGCATAACTTGCTATAATGGATTTGGTCGACCCTGCCTAACTGTCATAGTGATCTACCACTTCCCTCTACATGCCTTTACAAAAGCTCTTAACAATGCAATGTATACATCGTGAAGAAAAATTGCATAGCAGTTTCTTTCTTCCCCCTAAGATACATCATGCCGTACATTAAACGAATATGAAAGTCCCGTAAAAGTCCAAAATGACAGGCGCTGGCGACTATAGCTACTGGCAAACCCCCGAACATCTTGATTTATGGAAAAGTTGATACAGAGAAACAAATTGTTCGATTCGCTTCGCTAATATGATTGATTAGAACGTCTTTTGTTTCCCCAACTCATGCTAGTTGGAAGTTGGCCGTGATTTATGGTTATTTTTTGCGATCATTTGTCATTTTTAAAACGCCAACCGCGTTGGCAGAAGCATTTGTAATGTGGAAGGTTTTGAATAAATGCCGGAGACACCTTATTTGGTACATGTCTGTGAAACATCGTCGGGTGAAATGCAAACAAATATACAGACCGGTTTTTCACTTTCATGTTCTAGAGTTACAAAGACGATTGCATTAGAAAAATGTTTCTGTTTTTTGTTTTTCTCTATAGGAATTTCCTTTCCTGCGCTCTAAGCGTTAAAGAAAAAGGTAAGGTGATAACGAGAATGATTATTTATCGAAAACTCTTTGAACGAAAATATTTTATCAGAAACATTTGTTCGAAAATCAATACCTATATTTTGACTCGGCCGTTACTTGAGGAAAACCCATGGCAAATGTAAAAATTTCATAAACGATATGATTTCCACAACATTCTTAAACACACAACATGTTTCGCTAACACAGTAGCTTCGTCAGGTGATATACTGGTACAATGAACTAAACCAACGTTGGCTTGCTTAACTTTTATATATCCTACTTTCCCAACTTGAAGGATTAATTACCTGTGGACAGGATAGATAAACCTCCATTTCCGGAAATTAGGCACAATATCTACATTAAATTACGGTATACCGAATTAACTTGAAAGGGTTGATAGCAAATAAATATTATTACCAACTAAGAAAACAAATTCACCAGTGGTGAACTATTGATAGGTCTAATTGATCGTTAAGTGAAATGTCAACATTTTTGAGTTTGTTGATTTCTGATGATGATCATTCCTTTATTTTCTACATGTAGAATTTCGAAAGTATCATCAAAACTATGGTTTTCTTCTAATATATGGTTGGCGTATGTTCAATTTGTATTCTTTAAAAAAAAATCATGTTATGTTCATGAATACGCTGATTGAACATACGACCTGTCTGACCGATATATACCTTAGGACAAGATCCATAGTTGAGTTTGTATATCCCTGATTTTTCGAATTTAGTACTTTTGTCTTTATTATTCCTGATAAACCTTCCCAATGTGTTGTTTGTTCTATACGATACTCTCAAGTCCTGTTTATGTAGAAATGAAGCTAATTTTTCAGTTGATGATCCGAAATAGGTTGAAGTTCTATAATTTTGATTATTATTCTTGATGGTAGAATAAACTTCTTCACTGTACTTCTCACTAACGCGAATTATAAGTAAATAAAATAAAGTACGAACTTAGGTTATTGTCTCGGATTTGAATAGAAAGCAATCTTGACCATACACGTTGTCACAATTTTATCGCTGATAAACGAGGTTTGTTGGTCACGTGTGGGCCAATTCGGCTTCTGTATTGGTAGAGCAAATCCGATAAAATTTAATAAACAAAAAATATCGCTAGAATACAGAAGAAACCGTGAAAATGGTCGATTCTGATTGGTCCTGGAGATCAAGAGTGGAATAGTCACTTCAAAAGTTTCAAATACCTTCAGAAACGAAAAACTATTCGAACAAAGTTCTCTTGACTGTGTTCATTATTTTTTTACAGTGTGTGATAACATAATCAGCAGGACATGTAGGTAGAAATTTCAGTGAATGGTATCCGAATCTACCGCCAATGAACGTCAGAGTGAATACAAAAATACAAATCAAGATATTGGTTTCATCATAGGCTATAATGATGTACATCTCATATAATACCGGGTGTTTCTCAAGAGTGAAATTCGGTGTGTTATAGTACATAAATATAATTTTTTTGACGTATTCAATGATTGTTCTCTGTCACTTCAGGTTTGACCGGAAATGATCCTCACTTCCTTATCTCAAATGAAACACCTGGTATATTTTTATATATTCCCTAGCTTATTTAATGAATAATCACATTTTTGGGTACAATGACACCCCATTTGTCACTATTTGACATTCATCATCCTGAAATTTTCAATTTCTAATTAAAAATCTAAAGTGCCAGTTGAGACGGTTAATTTTGGATCAAGTTACCAGGGAAAAATAGTTTTCATGAAGTTCATCAATTGATTTCTTTTGAAAATTCATTCAGAGTTGAAAAAATTATATTTTTATACCTCAATATAACATAAACGTTGAATAACATACATCCTAATGACACTGGACACTCTATATAGATTGAACATTTTACAAAAATATCAACGTGACAAATGGGGTGCCATTGTACTCACAATGTGATTTTCTATATACCGGGTGTTCCATTTGAAATGAGAAAGTAATGGACATTTCCGGTCAAACCATCATATAAAACAATATAATACTTGAAAAAATTCATATTAATTTGATATACTTACACATCAAATTTGATTTGTTTATCTATACAAACAAAAAAGTTGTGGACTTAATTTCGTGCCTCTTTCTTTGAATATGAATCAATCCACTTCGAGCAACCATGGACTTCTAGCATCACTTGGAATTGAAACTTGCAAAACCAAATAAGTTTCGTCAGATCTGGCAATATGGCATCCCCCCCAGCCCCCTCATATTATATAACCCTGAGCTCAATCGGCAACGGTTTCATTAAAACGACACCGGCTCATTACCCTCGCAATTAACTTGACAATCGGGGCTGGCCTCCGTGACAGATACGAAAGGGGGGGGGCAGGGGTCTCCCCGCGAGGAGGGGGGGGAATCGGGGGCTTCCGGCCGCGCAAAGTAATCGCATTCGGATCGGAATGCTGGGCGGCCCGGGTAGCATCGGCTTTGATTAATCCCGTTTAAATGGGGCCCCGAAGGACGATCAATGCAAAACGGGGTAAGGGTCGATATATACCCTATTACGCGGTTTGCAGTCGAATAATTGCACGTTTCGGTTTGTGTAGTCTAGATTTTTGGGCTGAACTCCATTTATTTCATATAATTAATGTATGTGTTGTACGAAGTGCTGTATTACAATAGTGGATCTATTGGGAGAATGGAGGGTAATGGCAAATCCAGGGAGGGGTGAAAGGGGTGATCGCCCCCACTCCACAATCCTCGTCTGAATATTTCATATTTTTATTGAAAATATATTCATATTGTACCAGAACTCAATTTTTTTTTTTGTATAGAATACAGCAAAAAAACACCTATAGGTGCCTAGTGAACTCTTTGATCTGAGTGGTATTAATAAGGTTACTGATATACTGAAAGCCTCTTGAGGAATCTCCAATCTTTGAATTCCCAAAAAGCAAAGTGTCCCTGGCTTTAGGTATATGTATGTGCTTCAAATTCACATAAAAATCTGTAGTTTAAAACACCTATTTTCATTTTCAGAATTTAACCTTCAATAGCGTTACTGTACCAACTTCAATCATTGTAATAAACGGAACTGGGGAAGCATCCCAAAAATCGATTGCTGTGAACCAGTACCTGCTGAGTATTTTTCTTTGTATATTATTCCTCCCCCCATCTTTGCCATTACCATTGCTCCGCCACTGCATTGACCTACGTACCATAGGAGGGGTGTTGAAGGTCTTCGAATGTCCTACTTATTTTGGCAACAGTGTGAACGGCAACGTTGCTATGTCGGCTGAGTAACTTGTGAGTCCAAGGGAACAAGAAATAGTTATTTGTTATACAAGGGAAGAAATTAGTAGATTTTAGCTCCAGGTTGTGTTGTCTCCCGACGCGTATATCCCGTGTATAATACACTATTTTTTTCTGTGACAGAAGAAAGGACGAATCAATATTGAGAAGATATTACATTATTTTGAAACCTGAAAGTTATCGACGTGAAATTTTAAGTTTTTAACAGTTAGGGACACCTGCGTTGTAGGCATCTTTATTATACTTTTCAAGTAATCAAATATCTGATGTCACTTTTGTCAGTCTAATTCTGTGATTTGATTCCAAAAAATTGCGAATTTAGTGGTTGTTTAGTAATATACGTAACCGCAAAGTCGAATGGAACATAAAAGGACTTGCAGTTCTTTCTCGGAGACAGTATTATTGAATCATTTTTCGGAACTATAGCACAACAAAAGCCATCAACAGAGTATTTATATGTGATATATATCCGGGAAAAGAGTACAAACTTTTTTCCCACGGAAAAAAAGTACTTTCTGAAATATGGCATTCTATAACCTGTCAGCAGAGATGAAATGTCAAACTTTCTTCCCATCACAGAAAAAATAGAAGATTAATACAGTGATAGAGTTATTCACTGTTGCTGTATACAGGGTGTCCCATAATTAGCTTGCAGAACTTAACCAGTGACTTCTATACGACCAAATGTAGGAAGAAAAGTTTGGCTTTGTTTAATCTTTTTTTTTATCGCTTGGAGCGCACGAAAGGGAATCCCTATAATGTTCAAAGAACATCGTGCGTTCCTAGGGAGGATAGGGACAGGAGGTAGGTATTGGAATTTTTTTTTGAACTTTTGGAGATTATATGATGTTGGGAATACTTCCACAGGCAATGAATTCCAGAGCCAAAAGACGATCAATCCAAATGCAATACAGAATGGGGGGCAGTGGCAGATCCAGGAAGGCAAAAAGAGGGTAATTACCCTCCCCACAAGCTTCGTAGAAATATTGATAGTCACCATTCGTGTTATTTCATATGTCTATTGGAAATATATTCGTATTTTTGTTTTTATATCACCCCCCCTTCCTTAAAATGACCGTGGCTCCACTACTGCATATACCAGAGGAGAGGAGCAATTGGTGAATAACTATTGAAAAACCTCAAAAATATCTCAAAATTTGTCACCATGATTTATTTATCGAAGACTGGAACCTTTGGCACGATAATACACTACACTGTTTTACCACTAACCAAACCGATTTTTTATACGCTTCGATAATGATTGTTTCGCTAACTATGTTAGCATCTTCAGGAAAAGATCAAAACTGAGCTGAAAAACAGTTTTAACCTTCTCCTGAAGATGCTAATATAGTTAGCGAAACAAGTGTCGAGGCGTTTAAAAAATCTGTTCGGTTAGTGCATAGATTTAGTGGTAACACAGTGTAGTCACCATGATTTGCTTACATCAGTATAAAATTTGAAAAAGGCGAAAAGAATGGCTATATAGGTACACATTGACTCATCTACCTACCTTTGAAGGAAAGCAATTGGGAAAATATGAATGCAAGAACCTGTAAGATCAAGACCAATCAATTATTCACCTTAATTTCTCTAGAGAAGATCGATTGAAATAAGAGAAAAAATTGGTTCTCACTGATGTGCTCAGTGCTTGAAGAGCTGCCTGAATGTCTGATACAATATTGATGTTTTTGATTACTAGAGTTCAGTCAGTCAACTCTCTTTCACACATTTGAATAGCGAAACTTCGGTCTCTAGGAATTGAATAACTTTTTTTTATTTCACTCAGAATTCCTCAGGATCCATCAGTCATCAGTGAGCACACTAGCTTTAACTGTCCAAAATGGTGTGCATTTGCACCATGCAGTGTCTTTCTCGATATGAATCAAAGTAACTTCTTTATCCCGATGGCCTGATTTGATGATACTGCATCCATATTCATTCTGAACGTCAGCTCATCAGTGTGCTCTGTAACTGTGGAGCCATTTTGGTCTCGTCTAGGAACACACGAAACACGGCCGATGTATGTACATACAATGGACCATTGGCGACGGACATGATCAAACAGTGTTAGTACCTATTTGGACGTGTATTTGTAGATCATTTAACAAAGCAAGCGTCGCCATGTCAAACGCAGAGGCGTATCATCAATCATATTGCACTTCTGGAATGACCTCTGCTCGGTGACACATACACATGCAGTGGCGGATTTCCCAAAAGGCACAGTAGGCCTGGACCTAGAGCGGCAGGATATTGAGGGCGGCCAATTGTGACAAAAAAATTGCTGATGATAACAAGGATATAACTAAAAGTACGAAAATATTGAGAAAAGGGAGGAATCTCTACTGTCGACACCAGTGGCGGATTTTCCATGAGACACGAATGTGATATTATGTCTGGAACCTAGTAGCTGCTATAGTCGACTGAATTTCTAAATGGTTTTCGTTGAGAGTTGGCAATGAAAAACGTCCATGGACTGGGCTTTAGGGCGGCCAAGACTGCAAATCCGCCACTGTTCACATGCTGTCATAGTTGAGGCTATCAGCGCAACAATGGCGTAAGCTACTAAATTATTTTGTGGTGTGTATATTTGAAATTTTCACTTCCTCACTACGTAATTACAAATGATATACTGGGTGATCCACGGTGGATGGCCTATTAGAACTATCTGGAGAACGAAAGAACAGAACCTTCTGATATGCATCGACCTATTTGGAATTCCTTATTGAAGGATTTTTTCCCAGAGAACTATCTACAATTTGCGACAATTTGGTGACAGAGGAGGAATCTATTACCGATATTATTTCCTTCTCAGTGCTCGCAGCTCTGCCACGCATCATGAATCAAAGAAATCTAATAATATGCTTGAGTATGACTGATGTGGAATCTAAACTGCGAACATAGAAATGATTTCTCATTTCAAGAAGATATAATTATTCATTAAAAATTACTGTGGATGAGTGAATATCTTGTGATTCTGAATTCTGTTACAGTGATCTTGTTTTAATATGAACAATTCACCAGTTTCTTCATTTGAATAGTTCAAATTTCTGCCGTGAAAAAATATTGATTTTTGTGATCGTGACCTTGAATAGGAACATGCTTCATTTGAATAGTTCATAGTTTTGTCGTGAAATAATATTGATTTTTGTATTATAAGTGAAAATTCTCATTCCAATGTGTGAAATATTTTGGTTGCAGGTAATGTAGGACAGGTATGCCTAAATAAACAAACTTTGTGTATATGAAAAAATTGAACATATTTTTTTGTTTAAATAAATGATGTTTTGTGTGATGAATGATTTTCAACCTGTCTTTGAACATTATTTGTAAAACAGTTGAACAATGACGAAATCCTTCTGTGGAAGGTTAATGCACCATATTGCGTGTAAGTTTTTGATGAGACAGAATGAATTGGCTTCTTGCATAGAAACAATATTGATTCAACAAAGTTACAATGAGCTTATATCGATCTAACAAACAGAAACCGTTATAACAAGACACGAAAAGCAGTTTTACTATCAGAATAATGGAACATGAGTTATATGTTCCAACTCGATTTGATTCTTCTGAGAAAACGCAAAGACCGCATTACGGAATGATATTTTGTTTTGCCAACTTATAATAATCCGGTGATATTGAATGCCCTTTACCCTGCATCTATTCGACTCATCGACTCATTGATCTTGATGAATTCTTTGTCATATGGAAGAGTGAAAAGAAAAACATTCTGAAGTGTCTGCCTTATTCCAGTCACATCACAGACTAAATTTTGTCATCACGAAATGCTTTACAGGGTGGACAAAAAAGAATCTATGTATGCATATTTTCAACTTTGACGAAGCGATTTCAGACTACCATTCTCACCAAGTCCACTATATCTATGCTCGCTATTTCCATCAGCAATACTCTTCAACAGCTTTTCATGATCTACAAAGCACAGATTCGGCCTGTTCACAGAACATGTTCGTATCATAGTTATTAATTTTGAAAAAGATGTCATCAATACCAATTCTGTATTCCCCAATCATATAGTTAATGAAAAACATTCCTTTGATCCAAAATTGAACCTTAAATTCTTACATTTTTGTGAAAAAAGCAAAAAACTCAACCTACTAAAAAATTTTGAAATTCACATGGCCTTAAATAATCCTGAAATAACATGTATCAATGAAC